GAATCTTTTGTCAGTCTTATGATCTCTATTTTAATGTTATGCTGGTCAGTTGTCCGTAAACTCCAAAGGAAGGAGGGTATCACTGGCATGTCTTACCTCTCTTCCTGTCAGATGGGGAGCTGAGAATTTTATTTTTGGTTTATACATGACATACTTTTCTCTTTCTTAGTTTTTTTCTAGTTTATTTATTTATTTAAAATTGAGGCTGGAGTGAGGTGGCACAATCACCGCTTACTGCCCAGCCTCAACCACCAGAGAACACCACCTCAAGCTATACACACCAAAGCGAAACAAACGGTGCGTAAGCCACCCATGTCCAGTTAGATTTTTTCCTCATACACACATCAACAACACCGAGCATAAGCGACGATGAGGCTTTCCCGATTTTACCCGCAGGCTGGTCTCCAACCCGAGCCTCAAGCAACTCCCATGCCATCTTGGCCCCCAAAACAGTTCTGGGCACCTGCACAGCACTGCCTGTTATATTTTTCCAACTGCTGTCCTACGCACAGCTCACACACATTCACACAAATCACAAACAAAAAACAACATTCAACAATCAACAAAACCTCTACAAACGACAAAAACACAAACACAGTCCCAACCGTGATCCATGCAAAGATCAACACACAAACAACAACAACGTCGTTGCCGCTTTTCGCACCTATACATTCTGCTCAGACACGAGTGCGCGCGCTCCGTATTCGCTCAGGCAAGTATGGAAAGGCCAGCGCTTTGAACAAGCTCTAGTAAGGTTGTGCATCACGCATTTAACTGATTCTTCTCATTAAGTAATCGCTTGTACCCTTTCTTCACCACGATTAACCCAGTGTATTTATCAAAGCAGGAAAACTGTACGCTCCGCTTTTACATGCTTCTACTCTATACTGCTTCAATCGCGTTATTCAAAATACTTCATCAGCCTAAGATAACCGCTAGGTGGCTATCTGGTACCCCTTCAAGGGTAAGCGACTAATCTCTACCATACTGCGTAGACCCGAACGCGTTTCCCTTCCCTCGAGGAGAAAGAGGGAAAGACAGGTGGGCCCTAAACCCAGGGTAATATCTGTCCCTGATTCAGTGACGCCTTAGACGTTTGAGTTTTGTTTTGTTTGTTTTGTTTTGTCTTGCTTCAGATGGTCTCACTCGTTTCCTCCCATCGGCTGGAATGCAGTGCGTGATCTCAGCTTCCACCGAACACCCCCCCCCTTGTTCCATGGTCTCGGCTACCAGCATCCCCAAATCAAGGGCAAACCCTACAAGCAGCACCCGCACCACCCTGCTACTTACTCTATTCAGTCGTATCTATGGATTCCTTGTATTTTTAGCTAGACGTTTTTAAAAAAATTCTTATCAGGCGACCGACTAGGTCATCATTGTTAGTTAGCACTCTCTGCCAGGTTCCTCGAATTCACAATCGGTTCCTTTTAAGCGCTTCCAACTCCTCGCCATGTCACCGTTCAGCGAATGAATAGTTAAGTGCCTGCCTCTCAGCAGACCCTACACCAGTCCATTCGTAGGTTTGAACCGTCCTCTCAAGCCCGGATCTTTTCTTTTTTTTTTTCTAGTTGTGCTCATCCAGTGCCTTAGTTTCTGTATCTTTGCGCTGAAAAGATGCCTACTTGCCTCCTTTAATCATTCTTGCCTACTGTGTAATCCTTCCCTACATCTACCCTATCTTCAATCACAACATGCTTATTTCTGCCTCTTACGCCCTTTTCCTGTTATAAACCCAAGCCTGGGGTCTGCTGCCTGGATGCATAAACCAGGTACCTCACACCAAGGATTTACGCGCACAGAAACCCGAGGCATTCCTGATGCTGCAGCGACACACCGGGACGCCAGGCCAGCTACAATGCCAACATCCTGCAGCTCGCCTGCGATGTCTTGCAGCACCCGGTGTTTAGTGGCAAAAAGTATCAGACTTACATGGGCATAACAACAGTATTTAGCGCGCTGGGATCCTGTATGGGCTGCCAGCAACCTCAGTTTTCTGCCTCCTCAGAAGAAAGCGAACCTGACTACGGGCATACAGCGCAGGAGTAAGAGACCGCGAGCAAATTTACGAACAGGACTCAAAGTTATACAAAAACGCTTTACAGCGCAGGAGCACAACAGGACAGCTCAAAGCGCCACTTGGAAGGGAGGGTAAAGGGGGCAACTCCGAGCATCAAGTGCAGCTGGTTGACCTTGACTTAGGCGTTCTTTAATCGGAATTCTCTGCTTCCACGTTCTTTTCCTCGGCTCTTCCTTGGGCTTCATGCAGTGCCTGTTAGTCTTGGCGAGGGGCACCATTTTTTACGGCGTCAGCTTCGGTCTTTCAACGGGCGATCTTTTTCAAGCTTATACACTTACGCGCTTTTTTCTCGTTTTATTCATGCATCCCCACTGCAATCTGAGGTATTTTGCTTTTTCTCATTTACCTGGAGCTGCTTTACACATGGCACGAACAAAAACAACAGTAACCAATTTATTCATAAAGCACACTTACACACAACCGGTTCACCCACTGATGTTGCCTGTACACATCCAAACACACCTGCCTAGCCCGCTCACCGCGCACTGTAACACAATTTAAAGGCCAGGGTAAGGCAATGATGCAGCGGCCACACTGTAACACACACAGACACATTAGAGGCAGGAGCAGAAAACACTATGGAACACAGGACGACACAGGAACAGCCGGGCACACACAAAGTGAAACAGTCACAAAAACAGACACTAACAACAGAAACAAGAAAACATACAGCCACATAACACACACCGTACTAGTACAGCACTGCCAGAAGCTGCGACGTTAGAGGATCCCTTGGGCACAGGAGCGTTGAGGGCTCGACTGAGCCGTGATTGTGCCACTGGCCGCCAACCTGGAACAACCAATCGGCAAGACCTGTCAAAAAACAGAAACAACAAGAAGCAAAAGGCAGCTCTGGCTAAACTTCAGAAAAAGCAGAAAGCTACAAGGCAACCATGTAACAATCGAACTGCATGGAGGGTTCCACTTGTTTTTTTCTTTCTTTGAGAATGAATCTCACTCTGCAGCTCCAGGCTGGAGTGGGGCACTGGCGATCTTCGGCGCTCACTGGCACAAGCCTGCCTCTCCAGGATCGGAGGCGCCATCTCTCTCTGCTCCAGCCCTCAGACAACACACAACACAAAAAAACAGGGCCTCAAACACAAACACAACCACAAAAACACATCCAAAAAGAACACAATACAATAAATTTTTTTAATTTGGATACAGTAAAAACAAATCACAGATAAACACAGATGAAACTCAACCACAATAATACACACACACACCGCGTCCCAGAGTGCGGGCTAAACACATAAGCAAACAACGCACACTTCTTGATCTAAAAGGATGGGATATCTTGAATCGGGCTTACAGGCTATAGATAGATTCAGAGATTTTTCTGGTCAGGTATGGTGGGTCATGCCTGTAATCCCAGCACTTTGGGAGGCCAAGGAGAGAGGCTCCTTTAACACCAAGAGTTTGAGACCAGCCTGGGAAACATAATAAGACCCTGTATCTACACGTACAAAACTTTTTAAAATTAGAGGCTGAGGCAGGAGAACTGCTTGAGCCTGGGAGGTTGAGCTGCAGTGAGCTACGATTGCAACTGCATTCCGGCTTGGGTAACGGAGCAAAAGCCTGTCTCAAAAAAGCAAAAACAAAAAAAATCCCAAAATTTGCAGCTGGTTAAGGAAGAGAAGCTTTGTTTAAAAATTTGGGGTCCAGTAGAAAAATGTTAACTGGCTAGGAGGTGTTACTTTCTCCACGCCCCTCAGGAAGAAACTTAGAACAAAGAATGACGATTAAAGTTCAGTCGTCATTTTCCTGTCCTCTGAGGTCTATGCCATCAGATCTATTTGGTGGGGTTCCGGGTTTCTGAGACAACTCAGAGACATATGTTAAGATGTTATCTTTAGTTTCTATGAGGAAATCAAACCTATTCCGAATGCTTAACTTCCTTGGCTATTGTCTTAGGCTGCTATTACCTTCTTGCTTATCAAGTTGCTACTTATTTCTCAGAGCTAGCTAGGTGCCTGGAGTTTTCCTTGAAGAAACTCAGGATTTTGCTTTATTTCCATGCTTGGGAGTTCACAGGCCCCTAAAAAGGGGGTCTCTGCATCTCATTTCCACACAGTCAGCAAATATTTTTTATTAATTTTGTTTACTCTTCTGTGGTTCAAACCTCTAAGAAGATGTCTATCATCACTGCCGCTCCAAGCACTCACACACTTTTTTCTTCAATTCTGTATTCCTGTAGACTCTTATTTGCTCCAGTTCAGTTGTGTAACTGTCATGCATGCTGGAACTATGTGTCTGACCATCCCTATTTTCGTTGGACATTGTGGGGGTTGTGATTGAGTAACCTTATATTGGATTTTCTCACAGAGTATCCAATAGATGACTATTACATGGAAATTGAATGAATTTGGGATAAGAGATGTTAGTCTTAAGGCCTATGTTAAACCATTTATTCAACAAAGCAGATTCTTTTAGACTGCTTTATTTAATTCTCTGTTGCACTTTCCGTAGAGTCTGTCTAGAAATGATTTTACTATACACAAACATTATAGCCTCTGGCTGTAGGGAACTGATAAACAGGAGAAAAGTATAGACATTTCTAGGTGCCAGTAAGAGAAAGAAGATAGAGGGAGTCATAAAAAAAGGTCTTACTACAGTGATTTGAAAAGTGGAATTAAGGTTAGCCTTACGTATCGGGTTGAGATTATGATTATGATTATTTGAGACGGAGTCTCGCTGTGTCGCCCAGGCTGGAGTTCAGTGGCATGATCTCGGCTCACTGCAACCTCCGCCTCCCAGGTTCTCCTGCCTCAGCCTCCTAAGTAGCTGGGATTACAGGCGTGCGCCACCACGCCCAGCTAGGTTATTCTGTTTTTGTTTTTGTTTTTTGTATTTTCAGTAGAGACGGGGTTTCACCATGTTGGTCAGGCTGGTCCCGAACTCCAGACCTTGTGATCGCCTGCCTTGGCCTCCCAAAGTTTATAGGATTATAGGCGTGAGCCACCGTGCCTGGCTGATTAAGATTATTAAATATAAAATGGGGGCTCTACATTAAGATTAGGATATGCTCTAATGAGGTCAAGGAGACAATAAGATTAACACAAGGATGGCTAGGATAAAGATTAGGATTATAAAAGAATTAATATTGTTGTTCTGTGCCAATGCCAGGCTAAATGTTGAATCAAAATCATTTTATGTTGGAACTAGAAATAAAACTAAGATTTTCCTTTTTCTTATTTTATCAGTGTGTACTCAAAGGGAATTTGGTATTGCTGCCCTTGCCAGGGAAAAGCTGGGAGACAGCATCTGTGGGATTGGAACCCCAGAACCTTTTAGATATTCTCTTTGGAGAGTAGGATTCATTCATTCATTCATTCATTCATTCATTCATTCATTCATACATTTATAAAACTGGGTGCCAGTTTTATGCAAAATTCTGGTCCTTGCCTTCTGAGAGCCTGAAATCTAGTGGGTGAACTAAGCCAGAAACACATACACAATGAACTGTAACACAACTTTTTCCAAAAGTTTTATTGTTCTATTGTTTCTTATGCTTTGAAGTATTTGAAAAACTCTTATTTTAAGGAAGCAAAACCCCTTCGGCTGGGGGATCATTTAGATATAGTTTTAGATTAAAATGATTTCCTCAAAGCTTGTTGAGAAGTTGAAGCTTTTCACCTGGGCTCGGGAGGCATTATTTGTACCAAAAGGCAAGGTTAAGAGCGTGGAGTCTGGAGCCAGTTTTCCTGGGTTCAAATCCTGGCTTGCACATTTTCAATTGGTAACATAAATTCTGTGTTTTAGTTTTTACCTCTGAAAAAGAATAATAATATTATCTGTTTCATAGTGTTGTTATAAGGATTAAATGAGTCAATATGTGTAAATTACAGGCGGTTCCTGACTTTGACCATTTTTTGACTTTATGATGATGCAAAAGAAGTACATTCAGTGGAAACCGTACTTTGAGTACCAATATAACCATTCTGTTTTTCACTTTCAGTACAGTATTCAGCAAATTACATGAGCTATTCAAAACTTTATTATAAAATAGACTTTGTGTTGAGGATTTTGCTGAACTGCAGGCTAATGTAAGTGTTCTGAGTATGTTTAAGGTAGACGAGGCTAAGCTATGATGTTGATAGGTTAGGTGTATGAAATGCATATTCAACTTACAATATTTTCAGTATATGATAGGTTTATCGGGAGGTAACATCATCATAAGTCAAGGAGCATCTGTTCTTTAAGTGTTACTTGGGTTATCATAACGATTACATAAATGCTTTGTAGTATCATAACAATACCTATGTCTTTGAGCAAAGTACAGTTCGGATGACCCTGGAGCAGAAGTCTGGGATGTCACATGCAATACCATATTTGGCCGGTAGATGACACCAAGGTCCACAATGTCGAAATTGTGCCAGCCAAAACATTAAGATATTTTTGTGTCTTTCTAGCTGATCCTTTACCTGCGATTTGTGGGCATTGTAAGGGAAGAAATAGGACTAAAGAAGCTAATTTACATTATTAAAGCTAATCTACAAATTTCCTTTGTAAGGCTCAAGCCTGAAATACTGAGATATTTGATTATGGTGTGAAAGCAACAGTGTGTATTTGAGAGTTGCCTGACTGAAAATTATGGGGCCTGGATTTTAGTTCTGACGCTGTGGACACTGTGTGTTCCTGGGTGAGTTTCTGAACTTAACTGGGTTTCAGCTTCCCCTTCTCTTTAGCAGTTATTTGAGGAATAAAATAGAATGAGAATGCAAAACAGACATATAACGAAGTGGAAAAACATGAGGGAGAAGCAAAGAAGACGTGGTAGGAATTAGAATTGGAGGTGAAGGAATAGTGGGCATACGGCAAGGGAGGGGAATTTAAAATGGAAATGATAAAGGTAGGAACATGACTATGGAGGCGAAGACAAAATAGAAAAATATAAAATATTATACTTAATGACTATAATTTGTCACATAAAGATACCTGCCTTTACTACATTTCAGATGCTGTCTCTTGCACGCATACACACAGACATGTGGCTTTCATCCATTCTCACAATGTAATGGGTGTGAGGAAGGCAGAGGGGAAGGGAACTCAAACTTTCTGATAAAAGCACATGGAATCTCCTCTCTTTTAAAGCACATTAAGCAGCTCTCCCTCAGCTTTGTGTGAGCCCCATTTCCTTCCCCAGCAATCTCCTGAATGCCCTGGTTACCTCCTTGTTCCTCAGGGTGTATATGAGAGGGTTCAGTGAAGGAGTGCCCACTGCATAGAAGAGACCAAAGAACTTGCCCCTCTCTTGGGCATAGGGATTTTTGGGCTGGAGGTAAACAGCAATGACTGAGCTGTAGAAGAGGGTGACCACAGCGAGATGGGAGGAGCAGGTCCCAAAAGCTTTCCTCTGCCCTTTTGCAGAGTTAATCCTCAGCACTGCCCGGGTAATGGCTCCATAAGAGACAAGGATGAGGCTGAGAGGCACAACCAAGATGAAGACACTGGCAACAGCCATCTGGATCTCATTGTAGGAGGTGTCCCCGCAGGAGAGTCGAATTAGAGCTGGGACCTCACAGACAAAATCATCCACTTGCCGATGGGGGCAGAAGGGCAGGCGCAGGGTGGATGGTGTCTGGACCACTGACTCCACCAGCCCAATGACCCAGGCCACAGATGCCAGCTGCCAGCACAGGCGGGGGTGGATGATGGTGGCATAATGGAGAGGCTGGCAGACAGCCACGTAGCGATCAAAAGCCATCACTGTCAAGAGGATGCACTCAGTGGTCCCCAGGGACAGGAAGATGAAGAGCTGGACAGAGCAGCCCAGGAAGCTGATGGTCTTCTTTGGGCCCCAGAGGTTAACCAGCATCTGGGGGACACAAGTCGTGGTGAAGCAGAGGTCCAAGAAGGAGAGGTTGGAGAGGAAAAAGTATATTGGAGAGTGGAGCCTGGGGTCCAGCACAGACAGCAGGATGATGAGTGTGTTGCCCACCAGGGTTAGGAGGTAGGAAGTGAAGACAACCACAAAGAGAGTCCTTTCCAGTGCTGGGTGTTCAGAGAAGCCCAGAAGGAGGAAGCCCATGGGGGAGCTTTGGTTAACCATGGCCTGTTCTTGTTTGTACCTGGAAGGATGAGGCTGTCGCCCCAGTGTGATTCAACTTGTCTTATCAAAACTCAGCCTGGGTGTTTGTGAGGTCACAGCAGGTGGGTGTTTCTCTTCTGTCTCTGCTCACCCAGCCTCCATTTCCCAGGCTCATCACCATCCAGCAGCTCCTTCTCGTTCCCTGTTCTTTCTGGTCAAACATTGCCTAGTGAGAATGAGGAAACCATGAATGTACTGGACAGTGGATGGAGACTCACACTGGTGCCTCTGACTTCCTGGGTGAGGGCAGAGGAGGCTGATTTAAAATATGCATTAATTAATTCATTCATTCAAGGGAAACTTACTGAGTGCCACTATGTTCTGAATGCTGTTCTAGAGTTGTCTCATTTATTGGATGATCTCGTAATGTATATTGAATGAATTTTCTGATAAGTGATCTCTGTAGGCTCAATTATTGCTCTATTGGTTGAATGAATTTTATAGAACTCTGCATATTCCATTTGTTTTGTATTTTTTCATTTGCAAGTGAGCTTATCAGAGACAGTGTTTTATCTAAGAGAGATTTTGTTTTGTTTTAAGATGTCCCCACTTACAGAGAGACCAGGTTGGTTGCCCCGGCCTTTTTAGCAACCTAAGTTGCTGAACCAACTGACCTGAAGGGAGGGGTGGAAATTGGTCCACGTGCTTCGTCCTTGCCATGAGTAGCTTACAAGTAGGAGGCGAGAGTGACCACAAGCATGTTAAAATCACCAGGAGTTCACAGGAACATTATCGAAAGACTCCAAGAGTCACTCTCCTTAAATCCTGTAGTCTTTCAGACACCACCAAAAAGGAATCCAAATTTTAAAGGCCAGTAACAGCAATGTACTGGGTGAATGAGAGTAAAGGTTCTGTAGGATGACTGACCTATTTGGTCGGATATGTCAGGGAAAGCTTCCTAGAGGAGGTGGCTGGGTTTTTTCCTTAAAATAGAGATGTATTGGGGCATAGAAGGTCAGCTGAGAGCTGGAGGTGGGAGACTGAAGCCACTCTGGCAGGTCAGAGACAAGGACTCAGGGTCTTACAGGACCTTAGGAAGGCCATGAGGGGAGCAGAGGAGATGGTGGGCCACCCACAAACGTGCCGTGGAGCTCAGAGGATGGCAGGAGTGTCTTCCTCTTACAGGGTCTCCATCTTGTATTAAGTTCTATCACATCTGTCTCTTCTTCCTCTTTCTCCCATTATTCTTTTCTTGCTTAAAATATATTTTTAATTTTTAAAATATTGTTACATATTTAAACATAAATATGAGTAAGGCAAATTGCAGTTTAAAGAATAATAATGTTAGGGCCGGGCGCGGTGGCTCACGCCTGTAATCCCAGCACTTTGGGAGGCCGAGGCGGGTGGATCACGAGGTCAACAGTTCAAGACCAGCCTGACCAACATAGTGAAACCCTGTCTCTACTGAAAATACAAAAAAATTAGCTGGGCATGGTGGAGGGTGCCTGTAATCCCAGCTACTTGGGAGGCTGAGGCAAGAGAATCTCTTGAAACTGGAAGGCGGAGATTGCAGTGAGCCGAGATTGCACCACTGCACTCTAGCCTGGGCAGCGAGAGCAAAATTCTGTCTAAAAAAAAAAAAAAAAAAAAAGAAGAATAACGTCAACCCCTGGTATGCCCATCAAGCAGATTAAGGAACTGAGCAAATGTTTCAAGTATTTTAGAAGCTCCTGTGTGCCCCTCTCTGCTCTCTCAATTCCTCACCCCTCAAGACGGACTCCTTAGATGGAGTCACATTCTGTAGCCCAGGCTGGAGTGCAATGGTGTGATCTCTGCTCACTGCAACCTCCACCTCCAGGGCTCAAGCTATTCTCCTGCCTCAGCCTTGCAAGTAGCAGGGATTACAGGCACTCATGACCATGCTCAGCTAATTTTTGTATTTTTAGTAGAGATGGGGTTTTGCCGTGTTGGTCAGGCTGGTCTCAGACTCCTGACCTCAGGTGATCTGTCCGCCTCAGCTGCCCAAAGTGCTGGGATTACAGACATGAGCCACCGTGCCTGGCCTCTAAAATTTTAATTATGCCTTCACTTTCATTTTTTGAGGTGTATTTCACATACCATAAAATTTGCCCTTTTGAAGTGTATAATTTAGTGGTTTAAAGTATATTCACAAGTTGTGCAACCAACATCATTTACTTCCAGAACATTTCATCACCCCCAAAAGAAACCTCATGCTCATTAGCTGCCGCCCCCCTCCTTTGTTTCCTTTGTAATATAAAATTCTTTGCATGTAACCTTAAACAATAGCCAACTGTTTCTTATTCATCCATCATGTGTCATCCTAATTAATTTTCTACATTTCTAACTTTGTCATTATCTTGGCATTTTACTCCTTTCCTTTCTCTGCTATATTGCTAAATCTCTTTAGATTACACCTTTCTTAGTGACTCTTTGTTTCCCTTTCCCTCTTTGATCTCTGCCTTTTCCACTCTCATTATTTTTCTCCTACTCCTTTTCCTTCTGATATATTCATGCATTGATCTGTGCATTTATTCATTTATCAAACTCCAAAGTGCCAGCATTGTGTTAGGAGCTGGGGAAGGAGTTGGGAGGTTCCTTGAAAGGGGTTTATGATAGGCTAGTGACCATGACCTACCCTTGCTGTTAGTAAGGTGCTTCCTGTGTGCCAAGCATGGTGATAAACAGCTCCCTGAACATCTGGTTCTCACAGTGACCCTACAAAGACATATAATTATCCCAATTTTACCAAAAAGTGAACAGTCACAGACAAGATAAGAGACTTGTATAAGGTTACCTAGCCAATAAGTGCTAGGACTAGGATTTTAGAGTACATTTAACTCCAAATCTGGTGCTCCAGTGTTGAGGATAGGTGGAAACTGATATCTCAGAGCCAAAGAGCAAAGGTTCTACTTACCTTCAATCAAATAAAAATCTGTTCTGCTACCAGCAATACCCATAACAGAGCTCTTAATTGGCACCCAGCCTCCACTTGTACATCAGGAAGAAACAAAACAAAAAAAAAAAAAAGAGGAATGGGCATCCTTGAATGGGCAACTGCATCTCTGGTCACAATAGGGATTGCTAATGTTGGCCATCTGGCACTTTTCTAAGCACACATGTGTGTGATGAGCTGGAGCTGGCTGAGACTATCTCTTGATTAGTAAAATTTAGGAATTTTGTGAGACAGTTATTAAACCATTGGTGGCTTGAGACAGCCATGGCAGGAATATTTACACTATGAAAATTGGCAAACACTACAAATTAGGGCTCTCCCCATCTGCCACCAACCAAGATATTTATTAAACATTTAGCCTACACTGCTGATTGTCCTTCACAACTCTACATATTATTCTCTTCCTTCCAATATGAAGAAGTTGAAACAAAGAAATGTAAATAACTTTCCCAAGGCTGTAAGTAAGCACCAGAGCTGATGGTTGAACCCAAATCTGCTAACTGTAGAGGGTGTGCATCAACCAAAACCCACCAAATCTCTGCAGGGAGGATGAGGCCAAGGTCAGAACTTTGCCATTGAGTTCTTTGACATCGAGTTCTTTGCCAACAATTTTTCCCCTCCGTCTAAGGAGAGGTGTGTCTGTGTTTTAGTGGCATTGGAGGTAGAAATGTTGACATGGTATGGTGGTAGAGAGAGGGATCCCACGGAGGGAAAGAGCTCATTAATTCTGCTGAGACCCTAGGGTCCATAGCCCACAGACAATTCATTAGCCACTAATTATGGTAAAGGGGGCAGGGGAATATCTATAGGAAATATGTCAACAATAGTCATCACTGTGGTAGGTAAAAGAGGTCCCTCACTGCTTCTTTCTGTCAATAGGAAGAAAAAGGACAGTGTCTCTCTTCCCCACCACATCCAGTGAGTCCTGGGCATCCTGATAGTCCTCTCAAGCTTATGATTCATCCATTCAGAACCTCAGTTTTTTAAGTTCTCAGCTTCCTCCTTTTCTATTTAATTCTTCTGCAATGGATCACATTGTAGTAACAGAATTATAAAGCTCTGGGTTTGGAGAGTACTTAGGACATTTAGCCAATCTTCATATAACTGAATCATTATGCTTCTCTTCCATTAGAAAGGAAGCCTATGGGGTCAGCTAATAAATGGCATGTACTACGTCCATGGATCTACTCAGTAGTCATTTCTGTGGCCTTTAAATCTGTAACTGGAATGCACATGCTTGGCAGTTGGCAGAATCCCCACATAGTTCTTTAATCTGTGGAGTAAGAACTACAGATTCAAGTGGAAGCCCTGAATCTACACCTCTTACCACAAAGACAGTAAATCAAGAGCAATATCACAATTCAAGGGAAATGGCTGATTGATGCCACCTTTAATGGATGTGAGGGTTCATTCCTATCATATTTCACATTTAATTCACCTGTCTGGTCACTACAAAAATCAGAGGCATCTTGAAAGGTGACCAGACTAGCACAAACCCAACCAAGAAATAGCTGTAATTGCAGCTGTTGTGCCTGATTAACACGGTTTCAGGTCCATGTTATATAGCTATTAATCTGTTGAATAGTGTGTTCTTTTCTTTTCTTTTTGAGATGGAATCTCACTTTGTTGCCCAGGCTGGAGTGCAATGGCGCGATCTTGGCTCTCTGCAACCTCTGCCTCCCGAGTTCAAGCGATCCTCCTGCCTCAGCCTCCTGAGTAGCTGGGACTGCAGGCGAACGCCACCACGCCCAGCTAATTTTTGTATTTTTAGTAGAGGGTTTCACCATATTGTCAGGCTGGTCTAACTCCTGATCTCGTGATCTGCCTGCCTCGGCCTCCCAAAGTGCTGGGATTACAGACGTGAGCCACTGCGCCTGGATGAATGTGTTCTTTTCAAATACTATCAGGAAGAAAGACCAAAGGCAGTTTGAATTTACAGGGTATGGATATAAGTGTACATTTACATTTACATTTTTGCTTCAGTACCATGTTAAAACTCTCCCATTATAATAGGGTCCATATAATAGGGACATGGGTGTGCTGCAACTCCGGCAAAAAAAGCCTTGATTTCTGTAGTGTAAATATTCTCACCATGGCCAATTTTAAACTGTCAATGTGAGATTACTGAAAATGCAGAGTTGTAGAGAAACGTACAGTAACACACCATTACACAGAAGAATTTATAATACAGAGGGTTTTGGGTTTTTTTTTGAATAAACAAACGGTCTTTGTTAGGCTCAGACCAGAAGTCCATGGGTCTTGAGGAGACCTGTGTGTATTTGCCAGTTTTCTTTTTCATGTTCTTTTCTGCCTATTTCTGCAGCCTCATAAGCTGTTTCTTCTTCTGGTAGTGGATCTTGGCCTTCTCCTTCCTCTTCTCCAGGGTGGCTGTCACTGCCTGGTACTTCCAGCTAACTTCATGAGCCGGGTGTCTAGGCAGACAAACTTTCTTGTAGGCTTCAGACACACAGCCTTGAGGGCAGCAGGAACCACTATCGCTTTTTCTTGTCATAGGGCGGCGGAATGTCATCAGACACTTTGAGGTGGTTCAGGGTGGCCTGGCCTCGCTGGGTCTTTTGGGGCAGCCGGCCTTGCACCATCCACCAGAAGATGCCTCTGGGGCCGAGAAATAGCAGGGCCTCGAGAAGGGTTGATGTTCATCTGCTTGCGGAGAAAGGCCTGGGGAAAGGCCAGGTACTTCAACTTGTTTCTGTAGAAATTGCCAGAAATGTTGATGCTCTCGCAGCGCAGGACCACCACCTTCTGGCCTAGAAGGAGGGAAAGGGTTGGGAAGTGCTGAGGGTGCCACCTGAAGGCTCTCCCTCTACCTGTGACTGCACACAGACAGTGATGGGCAGAGCGGAGTTCATGTTTAAATGAAAAGACAGGCTAATGGAAAATCACTTCTGAGCCAGGAGGACCACACTCAAGGAATGGGAGTGGCTGGCAGGTCTCAGAGCAGCAGTGCATGGGGTTGGTCTCATGGCCATGAAACTCAAACGAAAGATGGTGATTGTTGCTCATCACCGATCCAGAATATTTTTATTATACAGACAACATTATTTAGTATTTTTATTATACAGACATAATAGATATAAATAACCAGAATAGTATAGAAAATATGGTAAGATAAATACCTAGAAAATGAAGAGCTTAGGGATTTGTTACCTATGTCTTAAAATAACTTATTAAAATAATAGTCATGTTTAACAACTGGTTTGCACAATTTCTGAAAATT